TGCAAAAAATAATTATACAGCGTAGCTGTTTAAGCGTTTTATTGCACCGGTTCACATGACCTGTGCCCCAGAAAGTGGGTATGTGCCCAGGAAGTCCAACCATAAAATGAACGTGCATAGTAGAGTATAATATAATATAATATAATTTAATATAGTACAGTGAGGGGTAGGAAAAAGTGGGTATGTGCCCAGAAACTTACAGCATGCAATAGACGTGCACAGTAGTCTATAGCATAAGTAGTATAGCAGAGTGAGGGGTGGGAAAGGATTGTGAGGCTGACAATGAAGGTAAAGAGAAAGGGGGACGGTACAGCGGTTACGTGCCACAGAAATAGGGTATGTTCCAAGCAGCTCCCAACATAGCATAGGCATGCACAGTGCAGTATAGCAACAACTCAGGAGGCCACACTGGTTGCTCACCTGTGAGAATTCCTTTGACGACCACCGGAAGTTTCGTTATGCTTTTTATCCAGGCGAGCACATCCCATGTGAGCGACCTGTCGAATGACTCTCGCAGTTGTTCCAGGCAGGACTCTTTAAGGCCTTGAATATGGCTGTAGTTTGTGCCCTCGAAGTTTGCTAAGCTGAAAAAAAAAGTGTGTGTAACTTTATGTGGACACATACCATCACGGACAATTTTTTTTAATGTGAATATCTTGTTAGGTGTAAAGGAGATATTATTCGTCCGTATAAGGTAAAGGAAGACGGTAACGACTATTTTGATGTCCTTTGAGTGTATGTACAAGTGTGGTTGAGCTGTGTGGCGTGTATGCTTTTAATTAAACTTAGAATATTGATGGCTGTAGAAGGACGCCCGAATTAAAGAACGTACACACTGTGGTAAAAAGAAAAAGAAGTATCCATAGTAACAATTGTAACAATATTTATTGCATGTTTTGCTCGATTAAATCTTTCGTAATCAGGTAGTTTCTGGACGTTGGCCTTCTATATATAGTTATATATTGTCAGGAGCAAAACAAGACCTGCAGGTGGGAGTTCACCTGAACCAGAGCAACGAAAATGTTCTCTTCTTCTTCGCAGCCCAAAACGAGTATGAGCCACAGCGGCTAGTTCATCAATGGTGGCATTACCCCCTGTCCCAAAAAGCATCGTCTCGATGCTGTACATGAAGACAAAAAAAAAAGAAAATGAGATGAAAATTACCATGCAACAAAATGAATGGCATAAGGCGGAATAACGTAGTTGGTTGTGGAGCCAAGAGTTAAATGAGAAATAAGAAAAATAGGAAAGAAAGTAAGGAAAAGACAAAACAAAAAGAAAGACGTGAAGTTACCAATAAAGTCAGTCACTCACTGGCGATTCACAGCGCGAAAAGTATGGTTTGAGCCGTGAAACATGAACGACTTCAGTTTGCGGGGTGAAACGGGAACGTCTCGAAGTGCCTTCTGGGAGAACCTCGTTAGTGACGCCGCTGAGACGTCGTACGACCTTGTAAGGGCCGAAGTAGCGGCGAAGAAGCTTTTCTGAACGGCCACGTTGTCGGATAGGGGTCCACACCCAGACTTCATCACCGGCTTGAAAATAACTTCACGGTGACGAAGATTGTAGCGGTGCGCGTCTGCGGTTTGGTGATGTTGAATACGGTGACGAACAAGTTGACGGGCCTCTTCTGCACACTGCGTGAATTTGGCGGCATCCGTGTGGTATATTCCTAAGTTGTCGGGCAGGAGCATGGTGCCGAGCATTGTCGTGACCTCACGACCGTGGACTAAGCGAAAAGGTGTGAAACCGGTACTTTCTTGAACAGCAGTGTTATGCGCAAAAGTTATGTAGGGAAGTATGGCGTCCCGGTTGTTGTGATTGATGTCCACATACATTGACAGCATGTCTGCAATTGTCTTATTGAGTCGTTCAGTCAGCCCGTTTGCTTGCGGGTGGTAAGCCGTTGTTTTACGATTTTCCGTGCCAGTTAATCGCAAGACTTCCTGCAGCATCTCTGCGGTGAAAGCTGTTCCACGATCAGTTATGATGACAGCTGGAGCACCGTGACGTAAGACGATGCTGTTAACGAAAAATTGGGCGACATCTGCTGCGGTGGCTTTTGGAAGTGCCTTGGTTTCACAGTAGCGTGTTAAGTAGTCGGTAGCGACCACAATCCACCGGTTTCCAGACGAAGACGTGGGCAATCTTACGTCGCTGACAGTCGCGACATGTGCGAACGTAGTGCTTCACAGTCTTTGCGAGACGTGGCCAGTAGTAGGAGCGTTGAATCCATTGCAGCGTGCGCGTATAGCCGAGGTGTCTGGACGATGGCTCATCATGACACGCACGTAAATTGTCACCACGAAGCGTCATTGGCGCAACAAGCAGATGCATAGCTTGTGTAGGATGAAAGTTCTTTTTGTAAAGCACTCCATCGCGGAAACAAAAGGAGGTTAGCGAGCATGCAAAGCTTCGAGGAGCGTGGGAATTGTGTCCTTCCAAATAGTCAATGAGCGGAATGAGCTCCGAGTCATGACGCTGTTGTTCAGCCAAGCGGGTTGCTGATACGGCAGAAAGAAAAGTGTCGTCATCTTCAAGGTCAGTGTTGGCATTTTCTACCAGGGCACGTGAGAGATAGTCGGCATCGGTGTGTTTTCGCCCGGATTTGTGGAAGATGGTGACATCGAAATCTTGTAGCCGAAGGCTCCATCGTGCTAGACGACCTGAGGGATCTTTGAGATTTGCGAGCCAACAAAGGGAATGGTGGTCGCTAACTATACCCTGAATTGGCGGCCATACAAGTATGGGCGGAACATTGTTATGGTCCAGACAACAGCGAGGCATTTCTTTTCGGTTGCAGAATAGTTTTTCTCCGCTAGGGATAACGTTCTGCTCACATAAGCGATCACGCTCTTTATGCCATTATGCCACTGAACTAATACCGCTCCTAGTGCAACGTTGCTGGCGTCAGTGTGTAATTCCGTGTCAGCGCTTTCGTCAAAATGACCCAGTACAGGCGGAGCTTGGAGGAGGTTTCTGAGGGTGTCGAACGCATGACACTGATCGGGACCCCAAACAAACGAGACACCGTCTTTTGTAAGCTTGTTGAGGGGTTCAGCAATCTTCGAAAAGTTTTTGACAAAGCGCCTATAATACGCACAGAGCCCCAGAAATCGGCGTAGGTCGCGCTTATTTGTATGCACGGGAAAGGTGGCAACAGCGCGGGTTTTCTCCGGATCTGGCCGGATGCCGGCATGGCTCACAACGTGACCTAGGAACTTCAGTTCTTCATATCCAAAATTACCTTTCTCGGGTTTGAGAGAAAGCCCCGCTGTTCTGATTGCCTGAAGTACTGCATGAAAGCGTTGGACGTGTTGTTCAAACGTGTCTGCAAAGACCACGACATCATCAAGGTAAACAAGACATGATTGCCATTTGACCCCCCTGAGAACCCTATCCATCATTCTTTGGAAAGTAGCTGGCGCTGAGTATAGACCGAAAGGCAACACTTTAAACTCGTACAGGCCGTCGGGAGTAATAAACGCCGTCTTTTCGCGGTCGCGCTCGTCCACTGCGATTTGCCAGTAGCCGCTACGCAAATCCACGGAGGAAAAATATTTAGCGTGTCGTATACGATCCAACAAGTCATCTATCCGGGGTAGAGGATAAACGTCCTTTTTGGTGACCTTGTTCAGTTTACGGTAATTAATGCAAAAACGCAACGTACCATCCTTCTTCTTTACTAGCAGAACTGACGAAGCCCAGGGACTGGTCGATGGCTGGATGACGTCGTCTTGAAGCATCTGCTGGACTTGGGCACGTTTAGCGTCTTGCTCTTTTTACGACACCCTACAGGAATGTTGTCGGATGGGCCTCTCAGTGGGCAATTTGATGACAATGAAGCTAACGTGGACGAACCATCGGCATCAGCAAGTTCTTCACAATATGCAATTGCAGTGTGTCTCGTTAGGTGACGATATTCGTCGCTCAAGTTCGTGACCAGCAGGTGAACATGCCTGTTGCTAGGCTGAATGATTCCTCGAGCAACACAGATTTGTCGTGAAATAAGGAGAGACAAATTGGCCTCTGTAATTACTGTGGCAGACGCGTCCTGTCCCAATTCTACTTCTACAAAGACGCTGCTTCGAGGTGGGAGAGTCAGAGAATCGTCGGTAACACGGAGCGCTCCTTTCCGGAATTGTGTACTGTCAGTTGCAGCGCAAAAAAGATCCTCGAAGGACACAAGTAGTTCACGGAGGTTGATGACGGTGCCGTATTCACGAAGGAAGTCCATTCCTAGAATGACGGGCCGAGAGCACACGCGCAATACGAGGAAAGAGCCCGCAAATGTCGACGTACGTATACGAATGCGTGCCCTGCATATACCGGTAATCATCACCAGATGGCCACCTGCCATGCGCAACTGGGGTCCTTGCCTTGGTGTGGTAACCTTCCTGAGTTCAGATGCCAGTGTGGCGCTCATTACGGAATAGTCGGCACCGGTGTCGACGAGGGCGTTGACAGCATGACTGTCGACGAAGACGGCGATTTCGGCAGAAACGATCTTTCTGCGTTCGGAAAACGCTGCAAAACCGGAATGGTCCTCATCTGGTCGTTGCGTCGAAGGAGGGTCTTTTACAGTTCGCCGGGCCGCGACTTCACCCCCAGAAGTCACCGTTCCTAGTTTCCCCTGCGGGGACTTGGTGACCAGCTCCTGAAAGGAGCGAAAGACGATGAGGGCAAACTGGGGGACGTGGACCGGTGAGGTGACGGTGATCTCGACTGGTGGTGCTGAATAGTCGAAGGAGTTCGCTGGCCCGTGAGATAGGCTTTGATTTCGCGGGGGCGGTCACCGTAGCGTGGGCATCGAGCATCAGGGTGGAAGCCGCGGAGACCTAGTTGCTGGTATTGACAGCTCTTGTATACGTGACCCGCTTCACCACAGTGATAGCAGAGCGGACGGCTATCCGAGGTCCGCCACGTGCTTGCCTTGCTGCCACTTTGTCTTGAGGTAGACGGCAGATAGGAGGGTGTGCTCAGAAACCTTGAGCCGAGAGGCGGGCTTGGAGCAGTGTCGTGGAATGACTGCATAGCCTGGTACCTTGGCAGCATAGCAGGATCTGTAGCCGGTGGCACAGGAGATCGCAATTCAGCTGCGTATGTCAGGACTGGGGCCTCGGGAATCGGTGGTGCGATTGGGGCCAGGGGTGTGACGGTCTGCCGGACTTCTTGTCTGATTACACAGGTTGATGGGATCTCACTGCTTGAAGCTGTCGCAATTCGTCCTGAACAATACTTCGAATGAAGTCAGCGAGGGCCTGTCTCTCGCTGTCAGAGCCGATAGAGCATGTGGTGGCCGGGATCTGGCGTTCGTATTGTGACGACCGCTGCTGCAGTGTACGTTCCATAGTGGTCGCCTCACTGATGAACTGGGCGACTGTCGTCGGTGGATTGCGCACGAGCCCAGCGAAAAGCTGTTCTTTTACTCCGCGCATCAAATGCCGCACCTTCTTTTCCTCGGACATGGCAGGGTCCGCGCGCTTAAAGAGCCGAAGCATGTCCTCGACAAACATGGATACTCGTTCGTTCGGCCGCTGGTTTCTGCAGTATATGGCTTGTTCAGCCCTCTCGTTCCTCTCGGTGTTGCGATAGGCGGCATGGAGCTGACGGCTAAACTCTTGCCAGGTTGCAAAGGAGCCCTCGTGGTTCTCGTATCACGTCTTCGCAGAATCTTCCAAGTAGAAGTAAACTCGGTGCAGCTTGCGTACATCGTCCCATTCGTTGATACTGGCAACCCGATCAAAGTGGTCGAGCCAGTCATCAATATCCTCGAAGATGTCTCCATGGAACGGCTTTGTTGTCTGTGGCACGTGAAAAACATGGGCAAGAAGAGAACCATGTGCATCGCTGATTTGGACCGCCTGGCTTGTCATCGGAGTTGCCATCTTTCTGGGTGTCGATGCCAAGGGACCTAATTCAGGGGGTAACCCACGCAGGCGGCGGCTGCTTCTTGCTCTGAGAGATGTAGCTGTCTCCACGATGGTCGACACAGCCGAAGTACACGTACCCAGCACCTCCACCAGTAATGTCACGAGCAAAACAAGACCTGCAACCGGGAGTTCACCTGAACCAGAGCAACGAAAATGTTCTCTTCTCCTTCGCAGCCCAAAACGAGTATGAGCCACAGCGGCTCGTTCATCAATGGTGGCAACATTTTAAGATTTTAGAACGTTGCAGACTACCAATGTTGTTGATATTGATAGTGACTGTGACGGTGATGAACGCGCCTGTAAAAGAGAGAATTTTGCAATATTACAAATATTTGATGTAACATTACCCAGAAACCTTTCGGCCATGAATTTTGCGATGTTACAAGAGCCGATACGGTATTGTCTCCCGGGACCAGCGGTCACATTTTGTTGGTGGTGAAAGGCCTGTGTAATGTGCGGTGTCAATGCGCACTGAACAACACCAAATGGTCAACATTTCCGGAGCCTTCCACAGCGGCATGCGTTATGATCGTATCGTGCTTTTTGCATGTAAAACCCCTGATATGCGGTATTATCGTTCCGAAAAAGACATCCTCTAAAATGAAATTTTTGTGTCAGTGGCTAGTGCAATCCACCGCATACTCCTGGCAACTCCGTTGGCCACAGTCATTCGGGAGTACAACTTTGAGTGTTGGTTGTTACTTGCAGCTGCACTCGGATTCAGTGCTGGTGTGTTGCTACGTACAGTTGGCTTGAGCGTCAAAACATTTGCGGTGTGAGTACAAAGGAAAAAAAATAATACAGTTGCGATCCTACAGCGTAGCGGCTATAACCGCTAACTGATGACCTAAAACTTCGTCTTCAGCGTTTAGAGTTCCGTAGATGGCTCCTTGCGAGGATAATGGGCTGTTTCGCCGTGCAATTTTACCATACGGTAAGTAGAGTTACGACATACGATTGTAATTGGCACGCTGTTGTTTTAATCGGCAAGGTCTGCCTTAACCACTATCATCATCTCGTCTTGTTGCCGTTGTGCACTGAGGAACTAGCAACGCTGGTACGTTTTCGAGTAATGGCACATATAACACGGAACAGTAATACGTAACATAGTGCAAACGCTGTGGCGCTAACTGGTCACTGCTAAAACACCCTGATATATCAAACTTGTTCCACGTTGCTGATTTCACTTCTTCTGACGTGTTCTTTCGCAGAAATCAGTGACATCTTGTAATGGCGTTCTCTCTCGGCGGGAAGAATGGCAGCCTGCCGTAAGTGAAAGGAGAATAGATGAGAAAAATTATATCTCTTACAAGAAGCTGGTTATCAAAAATTACTCCGGCATATATGTAGCAGATGCCCTCTGATACATTTTGGTAAAACTACAGTATCGCACTACAACGAATGTGGCTCCCTAGGCCAATTGAACGCCGCCCATAGAAACGCATGAGATCCAATTGTTAAATAATGAACACTCTGCCACGGGGTGTGTAGTGCAACACTGTAACTTAGCCAGACTGTTCAAATACGTGTGTGCTATATAGAATCGAGTAATTTATAACTACCTTTTCTCGTGAAATATGATTTTTGTTTGTTTGTTTCTTATTTAGTTACAGAGCCACTGCTGTGGCCAACGAGAGATGGCGCTACGTGCAGATGTCCCCAAATCATAGTCATGTACGCTGGATGTTCAGGTAAATGTGACATAGCCAGTTACTGAAGTAATAATTGAAGGTAGTTGCTTGTTGAACGCTGTACCTTAAGATTGTGTCATTAGATGAGCTGTTCTCAGTGATATTTGCAGCTACATCTATAGCAATCAGTTAACAAAAATTATATACATATAGATTCGCAAGTGCATTGTACCGACTCACCAGAGGTTCTTGGGGTAAGTCATGCGGTTTTTTACAGTCGCCACACGAAGCCCAAATACAGGCATGTCAACCGTAAGAACGATGGCTCCATAGCCTAGCCTCTCGGCTCGAGATAAGAAGTCAATCGTCACAGAGCGGTCCTTCACGACTTCCATCTGGAGCCAGCGGACACCCCCGGGTGCTCCGGATGCCACGTCCTCCATGGAGGTGGTGCTGAGCGCACTCAGCACCATAACAGTTCCAGCGTTTGCAGCAGCTAAAACACAAGATATGCACTTACTATTAAAGTTGCTTAAGCGCATCAAATCTGCCTGTATTCATACGAACCTTCGCTCCAAAAAGAACCAAAGAGTGAAAACAACCGAAAAGACTGTTTTAGCTAGAGCACCATTAGGTAGTGGGCAGGTGGTGAAAACTTTATTAATAATGTGAGCATCCACTATACTCATCTTTAACGATACATTATCAACACCATAATCCACTCGGTTATCTCCCATCATCGTTCATGTAGTATTATCATTGTGGGTTCACCGTAGCTGTTCGCTGCCGAATGTTCAGGCCAAATAAACGTTTTCGCAACCAACTCCTTATACGTGGCAAAGGCTGCTCTCGGATCCCTCATCCTCTACTCATCCGCTCCACCTCCTCGAGATTCGCTCGGGTCACCGCTTGTACTTTTGCTGACACCGCAAGACGTGCCTTCGCACGTTGTTAAAAGACACCAACGCCAGGCATCTCTTCGTTCTTGTGCACGGAGAAGATGTGGAGGACTGGATCGACGATTTCGAGTGTGTCTGCAGTTTTGCCAAATGGTGGCACAACTCCTGAAAGCTATCTCTCGTTCGCTGCCACATTAAGGGTGTAGCTAAGACGTGGTTCTTCAACCACCTCAATGATACTCCCGACTGGGCTACCTTCAAACAGCTCCGCCAATATCTTTGGCAACCCAGTCGTTCCGTCGGCTTTCGCCAAGAAAAGTCTCGAAGCTCGCAAATAACTTGCTGAGCGATACACATCCTAGATTGAGTATGTTCTTGCGATCTGCTGCCGTGTCGGCGTGGCAGTGCCAAAGTAGGAGAGGGTGTATTGACTTTTCAAGGCTACTTCAACTATCGCATTTAGTACTTTTGCCATCAGAAATCCGGCGAACGTTGCTGATGTTCTAATAACATGTCAGAGTCTCGACAATTAAACTCGAGTCTGTTCACCTACAAGAAGACAGTGAGTCAACTCAACACCTCCTACGGCGGATCCAGACCTGCGAGGCATGATAGGGCACATAGACGAATCACAATCAGTGGGATTCTCACTGCCTTTAATGTGTTCCAGCCAACTTTCTAAAATTGTTTTGCGTACTGGTTCACTGGAGATTCCTCGGGCAAAATGAACGTCTTCCCAACTGAGACCTCACAATACAGGGAAAGGTATAATATTATTGGCACACGCACAGGTCACCTATCTATAAGTATTGATAGATGAGCATCAAATAATCAAGCGTTTGACTGAGTTGCCTACGCAAGTCATCAGAAATAACCACCTGGAATTAAGAACCGCATGACAAATAAACAGGGAAAGAGGGAAACCACGCAGTTAAACATTCCTAGTCGGTGTATCCATTTCTTTTCTGTGAACATTATTGGTGCTGTGCATTAGTTGTCCTCGCGTATTTTCCCGACCAGGGCGGTTTCCATCTACTTCTCCATTTCCGGTAAGCAAACCAGTAAAAAAAAAAATCTGTGGACGTCCTAAGTTCACTAGCCGAGACCACTACAGTGTTTTGTAAACGGCTCACCTCGTGCTGTTGCTGATTCTCCATCAGGGTGCGCCATCTTTTGAAGAGCCGTCGGTGATATTCCGACAGGCATGGAAAGGCGTTGTCCTAGCAGCGTGCATTCTGTGTCTATTGTGCTCACGTCCCGCATTACTCGAGGCAACAACCGGAGCCTGCAGGAAAGCTCGCACCATTGGAAATGCCACGTAGAAGCATTCCATCAAGGGTTGAGAGGAAAATTAATCCCAGTGTTGTTAGTTCTTATTGATGAATTGACAGTAATAACAATAGAAAACAAAGTATTGAAGTAAACAAGACTCGGTAAATAGTGCGAAGATATTCGGAGGAGAGTGCTAGGAAAACTATCCGTGAGAAATAGGGACCCTTTATCAGAAAAACAGATATTTTTGCCGGCGCCTCTTATACTACTACCATACTACTCTGCACATTATGCTTGTAAAAGTGTCGTAGCTATTTCTCATTGTCGACTGCACAGGATAAGTACACTATGAGCCCGGACCCTAACTTCGAAGTCAACTGCATTGTTGAGACAGCCAGTGTCACCATCCTTACTCCATGGAGTGACTGTCCAGATATTTTGAGAGCTGTTTCACCACAAAAGCTGGTGAAAGGTGACTTGGCGCAAATAGTGATGCGATTCGGTAGCGAAATTGGTCCGAAGCAGATCAAATAATCAACCAATAATATATTAGTCTATTTACGCATAACTAATTAATTACTCAACTTTACTTCTCATAAGAAATACGGGCGTCGAGCAAAAAAGACCAAAGATGAAGTTAATGGGTGTAGGTTAGGCTTCACAGGCTGCGTCGAGTCGAAAGCCGGTATATTTTACTATAAGATACTACAGGCATACAAATTGTGCCAAAGAAATAAACATTGAGTCGACGGTGGGAGAGATGAAGGTCACTGGAAGAAATTAAGAACATTGGAGGCCTACGCTGCTAAAACACAGAAGTGATTAGATGTTTTTGGCAGATCTCGGTGCATGCCTATCGTGCATTAAAACGAACGAGAGACATGACATGGCCGGGGACATGCCAAAGGAGGTGAGAAACTTTATGAACTGTACGGGAAAAACACGTGTCTAGCGAATGGGAGTGAACGATGCGTTAGAAAACAATTATGAGTGCACCACGTGCCTCCGGTATATTGTTAGGGCTGCTTTTATATTAAACAAGCAGCTTTTCTAACGCACCATGGGCTAGCACAGAGTACAGAGCTGTCGATATCACATTTCCGCTTCCAAGCTTACGAAACCGGAACTTTTTCTTTCCAATATATTGCTGTAGTTATCGCATTTTGTCCATTTCTCGTTTTTTTTGCCTATCACGCTTTTTAAATGTATTTTGTTCTTACAGAATATTTCGTGTTAAACTTACCGGTTACGAAGTTTAAAGAAGTGTTCAATAAAAATACAAAAGCGTGGGTGCCAACCTGGCCTAGCCTTTTATGCCTTTTTATCGGCCTGAGACGCTTTTAAAGTAGGTTTCAGTACGACAGCATAAAGTTACGAATATTCTGATTCATGACTCGAGGTCAGGCTTTACATGTATGCATGGAAGGTATGCCAAGCACTGTTTCAAAGAAGTAAAAAAGTATCTGCATGTTTCACTGCAAATGTCGTCGAAAAACGACAGTCTTGCGTGTCGAGAGAGTGAAGAAAACGTTTATTTGATGTTCTGCGCAAGAAAATCAGTGAATCGTGTTCTGGAAGTGCTGCGTTAGAGAGTCTTGTTCCGTGTAGCAAAGCCTAGTAAGGACATCGAGGCACGTTAGACAGGAGCGCCATCTGGCAGTTATCTTGGAAAACGAGAAGGGCGTGCACGCCCACGGAGAAAGATGCGTGCCTGTTTCAGAGGCGATAAGGCGTAGAACGCAAAGCGACGGGCAGGTGCCACGACCGTGTTGCCTTAGCAAAGCGTAGGAAACGTTTTGCCTTTATGAGCATCGCGTTGCACTGTGAGCGCAGCGTGATAAACGCTACGGTCCTTGGAATTACTTGTGTGTGCCTTCTCTAGTATAAAGACACACATACAAAACATCGACGCGTTGTTGTGATGCCTCCGATATGCGCAATATTTGCTTTTTATATGACAATCGCACAAGTATGAACGCTGAAACCAGAGAAATATTGGTGGGCGCTGCGGATGGGGTTGGCTGTTTGAAATATCGTTTGGTCACTTTGGTGCCACAAAAAAAAAAATCGTTACCCAGACAAAGAGACAAATGTACAGACAGCCAGACAGGAAGACAGACAGACCCAAATGTTTGGCGTCGAAGGTCCTCAAGAAAGACTATCGTCTTTAAAAACACGTAGATGGCAAGCATCCGCACAGAATTTGTCTTCATTTCAATGCATTCGTTTCCGCTCATTATAACAGCTGGTTTGTGCCTGCCAACACTAGATACTCAAACAAAGCAACCATAAAAAATGCGATGACAAAGCATACACGATTGGCGCGGCTTCGTAGTATCGCACATGAAAGTGGATTGATCTTTTTTTTTTTTGAGTAGCTCAATAAAAAAGGTATGCGTGCTTGTAATAAAACTGGGAATATAAGGTGTTACCCTCCAATGATCAAACTTTTATTTGCGACAATAAACACAGACGGTAAACTCCGAACCACTTTGTTAAGAAGCATCAAAGTGCAAAATTTTCCGTTTTAATTTCGTCAACGCACAACTACGTTTTCCTCGAACACAATGGTCAGCCCTACACGCTATAATTTCAGAGTCCCTAGCGTGCTTTATATGTTTTGTTTGTTTTCGTTCAAACCCGTATATAATATTGGGACTTATCGTTGTTACAAATCAACACACTCGCTATTAGATTAATTGAGGAGAGACGACGTTTTTCGAATGCTACGATATTTAGCTCGATCATACAACACCAGCATTCAATTCATATTATTTATGAAGACAAAATAATATGGCACTGACATCTCTCGTAAAACCTATGTGATATCACTTCTCACACCTTTGAAAAAAAGTAAATAAAAGAACAATATGCTGGCTCTTAAGGTGTTACATTTCCTTGATTAGCGGTACTAAAAATATATATATTCGTTAATACACCGTTCACGTTGAGGATAGGAAGAATTGTATTCGCGCCGATAGAATATTTTGATTGATTTTTTGGCCTTACAGACTTCACACACCAGTTGTAAATATTGCAGACGTAAGGAAAAAGAAATGAATTCCTTAATAGGATGACTAAACCAGCTAATCATTCTTCGTGTAAGTTAATGGTAATCATTCTTCGTGTAAGTGCGTGGTAAGAAGCCACCTGAGGCTTCTTACCATGCACCAAAATCTCAGAACAGGATTGCCCTTGCACTTCGCATCCGTATAAATGTAGAAGTTGTGGTTGGGAATGACGAAAGAAAGAAGGCTTGGGTCATAGCTACACTAGAAGGTGAGTTAAAAATATTAAAACAATGACTGAATTCAGATAATGGTAATACTTAGCTTGCGTGAACATTGCTCTTCAATACTCTGTAATGTTCCCTTCTCTCCGTATTCCCACTTTGTTTATTTCAGCGATTGGAGTTACACCATTCGGCTAGCTATACATACGGTTAACTAAATAAGCAGCGGCGCTTCGTTGCGTGCGGTCTGAGCTGATTGTCGGCGGATAAAGTGAGTGGACTACAATTTACTGTTAATATCTACGCTCTTCTCAACTGAGTCGGGGCACGACGCCTATGCAACGTTAGCATTACCCGCGAGTAAAGCCCATTCTGCCTTTCATAGGGATGCTCGTCCTTGGTGACTCTTCACGCTTTCGCACTAAATCACGCCTTTGCTGTGTTGTTTGTACGTGGTTGGCTTGTGTTGCGTTTGCTACGCACTGCTGTTGTAGAAATTAGCTACTTATTCACATCTTTCTGTTCACATAAAAGAGAGAAGGAAATATGATAGAAAGCCTGAATATCTGTGTGATTTGTACAGTACCACTGTTTGCACTTTATACGCATGATTTTTTTTTTCTCATTCTGTTCCCCATGAAATGTGGAGCAGTGGATAAGTCTAGTCAAGAAAGGCGCTTTGCGCTAAACTGCGTTTACCACGTGTACTCACATTTTCTTGCACCAGTAAAACTCTTATATAAGAGTTCAGCGGAGAGCTCTCATCGATGGATTACGTGCATGAAGGTGCTACAACAAAAGCCTGATAATTAGACAAGCGTGTTGTTTTTTTTTTTCAGACAAAAAGTACCACTTCCTTCTGCCAGTCACTAACAATGCCACGCAAACGTTTTTGGAAAATAATGTAAAAAATATGAAATTTCCAGTGAAGTTATACGAAACTATGCCATCTGAATTAATTTTTAACGTCTGGTCTCTCTCATGAGTTCTTAAATCTAAGCACATGGTTGTGCACGGTAACTCTGTTTTCGAGTACAGTGTAAGTACCGAAGTCTCACGGTTTATGGGATAGTAATATTTTTATGAAGTGGTACCACGGCCAAATAAACACAACTTAGGCAACTCCTATGATCGATAAACTACAGTGCCGTAGTTAAACACCTACCAACAGCGCGTAAGTGTATGGCCTAAACAAAGTGTTTTTTCAGGGGGAAGCTTCTTAAAGCGGCACCCTTTCGTCCCTAGTCGTAGTCGTAGTGAGTAACCAGTCTTGCGTTTTGACCTGCAAGGTGGTGCCGGTGGGAGATTTCTCCTGTGCTTTGTTCAACAATAAAAAATTCGCAGCGTACGCACTACCTAAAAGCCGAATTCTCCTGTCTCTCATTCCCCAACAGCAGCCATTGAGCACTATCTGACAAGAAAGGGTTGCTACGTTATTTTCGCTGAGCGTAACCTTCTTGTTTTAGGAAGGTTCAGCGAGCGTTGGGCCGCAGTGTCATGAATACAGTTAACTAGTATATACCATGAACTCGAGGTGGTTAAAGGCGGCAATAGACACGAAACGCAAGCCGTAAGAAAGTGTGCGTGTGCCACCTCTCATTTAGTCCTTCGAATGTCCGCTGGATGGCAGTGCTTCTATATTGGGAATATATGATGAAAAGATGCGGGATGGTGGTACTTGGAGTGTTGACTAGATGGACGAACGGACACAGAGACAGATGCGTGTACGGACGCACGGATGGCTGCACGAATGGATGGACGCATGGACGGACGCAGGGGAGGATGCACGGACGAACGCAGGGATGGACGCATGGATGGACGTGTGGACGCACGTACAGACGCACGCACGGACGGGCGGATGGACGCACGGATGGTCACACAGACGGACGCATGGACGGACGGAAGCAAGAACGAATGGACGGAAGGATGCTTCGCGCCCCTCTCTATCATTCACCCCGTGGATATGCTGCCATTTTTTTTTACAATTGAGTCGCTATAAATATAAAACGTTGCATTCATATAGCATTTAATAGTCCTGCATGTTTGGGAGGACGCCAAGAGCGTTTTGCGTTGTGCTTGAAACAGAAAGCGCCACCCACTCTGAGATTATTATGGTGAATGGAGGGTACGACGACAATAAACATCACTCTGTAAAGTTGCACTAACCGATCCTATTACATGCATTAGCAGCCGAGCAAGACCAAATGCTTTCGTACGTTGTTTCAGGCGTACGTAGAAACCGTTACACTCGCACTGACATAACAGGACAAACCACATTTTGAGAACCTGCATGACGTACGTGCACATAGAAACACGATGTGGCTAGCAGACGACGCAATGAGCAATCCACATTTCACCGTTACGGCCAGTTGCCGCCAGGCGGCAACTCTGCTCTATCTAATAACTTGCAAAGCGTCGGCTAATAACTTGCGAAGCGTCGGCATGTTGAATGCCTAGAATCTCTGCACAATTTATACAACCCTTCTCGCATCTGTACTGTAGAATCATATCGGAAGTTTTTCAGATCTTTGTCTGCAAGGAGTGACCACGCCCTTAATATTGCAACTTTATCCCCTCACACTGGCATGTTCCAATACAGCTTTTTCCCTTTAACTACAGAAGCCTGGAATTTGCTGCCTTGGAATTTGCTGCCTGGAATTTGCTGCCACATCAAGAATTTTCGAAATGCTGTTTATGAATGTATTTGTTGTTTTTTTCTTTTCCCACTCCTGTACTGACTTCACTAAGGCTGCAGTATGTAAAAATAAATAAATGAATAAATAAATAAATAAATAAAATATACGCGCAGCCTTATACACAAAACTCACGCCCTATTTGCAATATATATAGCCCAAGAAACTTCGTTGCTCTTTTTACAATCAAATGTTCCACACGATTAAAATTGCTGTTATAAATAATAGAGGGAAATCATTATTTACCTTTTGAATGCGAGCAAGTTTTCCGCAATCGTTTGCTGCTGGTCCGCACCATCTCGATAGAACGTTGTCACCTTCGGAGGCATCTTAGCGTGAGCCAGCCGCTCGATGTCATCAGTGGTCACTACCATGTCGGTGGCGTTGAAGTTAGTAGACGTAGCCATTGCGGAAACGCAGATTTAGTTCGAAGATGACGCAGCTTTGAGTATATGTTCCCTGATTACCCTTGTGATTTGCTGAAGAATTTGCTGAATTTTTGCTAAGTACCACAATGCTGCTTTAAAGAAAGGTAATCTTGCTTTTCCGACTTGTCTTAAAATTGTCCTCTTGTAAAGACATGGCAGACTCTGGCTCTTTGCCCACGCTGGTGCAATTAGAGTTTCGTGACTGCGATGCCTTCTGGCGACCAACTAAGAATACCCTGATGGACGATCGTCGCCCTGGGATACGATTTACGATAACGCTGTTTAAATGCGGCTGCTCATAACCTGTTCATCTGCTTCACTCAAAGGCTGTCGAGCAGGTTTTAACGCATAGGCCAGGCCCAATAACATCCACAGGTGTGAGCTTGTTCCAAAGTTGTCGAGTGTCCTGTTCGAGCGTCAGGCATGTGCGAGGGTCGATAACCATTTGGACGGGATATTAAGCAGCGTAAAAATGAATAAATCAGAGAACACGTGTGTTTTTCGCGAAACAGGTTGTACGTTTTTTTTTTTTTCAGTTTCCTGCATGCTGTGAGCACACAGACACATCGGCATGGGCAGGGGGGGGGGGGGGAAGACTGACATGGGCCAGGGTTCAAAGAACAAGAAAGGTGTGCGCTTCATTTATATATACAGATAACATAATGTTTATGTGCACTGTTTATGCAGCTTGGGGAAACATGCTCTGTACTCTGCAAAAAGTGCTTCTGCGTGATGATGTCATACAATTGAACGCAACTACTAGTGGGAATGTACGTTGTTCTCGTTTTCTTAAACAGTGTGACGCATATGACGCAGCCCATAAATAGAAGATAACGCATGTAGCGCAAAAAAAAAAAAATTCTGAAGATCCCACGTACCTGGGAATCGACGTTAGGCGAAACATGCGGAGGGAAGGTGGCCGTGTTGTAATTTTTTAATTGAGCGACACATCATGAAATGACGCTAAATATATGTATGAATGTTGCACGCACATACATATTGTCGCGATGTGAAAAGAAAAAGACACAGGATGGTGGTGCGACCAGGAAAAACAAGGTCTTTAATAACAGAACAAAAAAAATTGCAGCCGCTTCGACGTCGTCTTTTTCGGAGGAACCGGGGTGGCTGTCCCCGCTCATCACTTCGTCGTCCTCCGTCTTCCTGCCTGGCCTTTAGCCGTGACATTAGCCTCCCATTCAAGGAAGCATTGTCCCGATGCTTTATAATCAAAGTGGTTTGTACTCGTTGGAAACGCATGAGTTCATTCGGAGAAATAAGGCATCTTCCGAACCACGTGCACAACTTCTGGAGCATACCTTCGGCGCCCTAAGAATTGTGCAGTATCAGGAACAACCTCATAATTAATGTAACTGAGACGTCGTAGAACTTTATACGGCCCGAAGTACCGTCTTAACAGCATTTCTGAGAGGCCACGACGCCTAATGGGAGTCAATATGCAAACTTTCTCTCCTGGCTCGTATTAGACGAGTCGGTGACGAAGGTTCTACCGTCTTGAATCGTAGTCCTGCTGGTGACTAATACGTAGGCGTGCAAGTTGTCAGGCTTCTTCGGCAAGCTCGGTGATATAATCAGCATCCGTATCGGCGACTCCGCACTCGTGCGGCAGCATAACATCCAGGATGGTGGTGAGTTCACGACCATGAAGAAGGCGGAATGGCGTTGTTCTTTTTGTTTCTTGATGAGCCGTGTTATAGGCGAACGTGACATGCGGCAAGATCGCGTCCCAGTTTTTGTGCTCCACATCGACGTACATGCAGAGCATATCCGCTAGTGTCTTTTTCAGATGCTCCGTAAGACCACTCGCTTGCGGATGATACACCGTTGTTTGCCGGTGGGATGTGCCACTAAGTCCTAAATCTGTCTTAATCTTCAAGATGTCTGTTATGGCTGGGCTGCGAATGCATTTCCCCTGTCAAGTATTTCCACTGAAACGTCAATAGTTGTTGCAGTGCTGCCTACCAAATTATATAAACACTACATATGTACTCCTTAGATACAGCCGTCGCGTCGGGTTAACGTCAATTGTGGTTAGTTGTCATGCGCTGAAGTTGATTTATGTAGCAGTGTCAAGGACCAGCATCTTCGCGAGCATCAGTGCTTTATATCAGCTTATGGTGTTGCCAATACACATGTTCCAGTTGACATCGTTGCGCAAGTGCAAAGAACTGGTTATATAAAACATCTGCAACTCTTCAACATATGTCTGTGCGTGCAATATTTGTACATATACTTAGAGTCATGTTATGACATGTCGCTCAAAAATGAAAAAAACTGCAACTGCGCCACCTTTCCTCCACATGCTTCGCATTACGTCGACTCCCACGTACGTGGGTTCTGCCGATTTTTATTTTAATGAAGGATAGATGACGCAGTGAAGGTGGTTTTTAAAAGCCATAGTGGAGCTGTGAAGTGTAAATTATATTAAATGCGAAGAATTTCTAAGCGAACTGCGGCGACATTGAGCATATCTATCTATCTATCTATCTATCTATCTATATCTATCTATCTATCTATCTATCTATCTATCTATCTATCTATCTATCTATCTATCTATCTATCTATCTATCTATCTATCTATCTATCTATCTATCTATCTATCTATCTATCTATCTATCTATCTATCTATCTATCTATCTATCTATCTATCTATCTATCTATCTATCTATCTATCTATCTATCTATCTATCTATCTATCTATCTATCTATCTATCTATCTATCTATCTATCTATCTATCTATCTATCTATCTATCTATCTATCTATCTATCTATCTATCTATCTATCTATCTATCTATCTATCTATCTATCTATCTATCTATCTATCTATCTATCTATCTATCTATCTATCTATCTATCTATCTATCTATCTATCTATCTATCTATCTATCTATCTATCTATCTATCTATCTATCCGCCTACGACATTTAGCTCTCCTGGCCATTTCGATAATGATATCGATACAAAACTTGGTAATGCATAGCATGATTGTATGAAGAACATATTTTACTAGTCACGACATTAAAATCATGACATGTGTGTTATGAATGTCTTGATTTACCCTTACTTTGATTTACATTTAATGGTTCTGCAGCTCTTGCGGTGGTTTCGTTCACAAGGCATGTTGAAAAACTGGTATGGTATGACATGATTACCTGGAGAACACAAGCGACAGACGCTAACATGAAAATCATGACATTCGTGTCATGTAACAACATGACTTCATGCCATGCTCATGATGCCCTCGCGGCCGTTTCGCTGGCGTCACATATACCAAATTTTCTATTACGGGACGTGAATGAATGAGGTAGCTATGATACTAATGCAAACACGATAAACATGAGACGCGTGTCATATAACAACATGACTACATGCTACGCTCATGATGCGCTCGCGGCCGTTTCGCTAGCTTCACATGTATAAAACTCGGTATTACGCGACGCGAATGGACGACATCGGTAAATGACACATCCAAACATGATAATCACGACATGCTGGTCATGTAACAACATGACTACATGCCACACTCATGATGTGCTCACGGCCATTTCGCTAGCTTCACATATGCCAAATTTGGTATTACGTGACGGTAATGGTTGACGAAGGTATGTGACTGGTGCAAACATGATAATAATGAGATGCGTGTCATGTAAGAACATGACTATATGCCACAGTCAAGGCGCTAATACGTTTCGACGTGACGCGCTGCGCATGCTCACCGGCGTTCATTTTGTCGCGTCACGCCGGCGTTGCCAAGCCAGTCATCAGTCCTGCCATATACTCGCAGGTGCGCGCCGCGCTGCGTTGCTTTGCCCGAAGTCTTCGAGCAATTCTGCACGATAATCATGGACCTCGCATGCGTACAGGGAGACTGCAAGCACCACACTCCACCGAAAGATCTTATGACCACCTCCACACATGACGATTGAAAAGGCAAGATTCTTGGCGACTCCAGCCTGAAGACTTTAGCTTGTACATGAAAATACACCGGTAAAATAACCGATTTAATGGCTCCTTTTCGTGAAAGATCAAATTTAATTGAATGAAACTGTATTCTTCCTCCTCCCATAATAGCGCCTACTGCAAGTACGGTTGCGACATACCCACTAAGCCTTACCCTTACCTCACCTTTTAAACTCCCCTCTTCCAGCGGGTCGCAGTTACTACATGAAGTCTCGCAAGGGCCGGCGCTTTGTGAAAAGGGCATGTGTATGTGTGGGGGGGGGGGGGGGGGGATAGGACGGCACGCCGGAACAAGGTAACAGCAAACATTGTCATTTAATTTGAAAGAATGCCTCTTCTATATCGTATATATGGCCTCATCTGTAGGGGTTTGGAGTTAGTACGAGAGAAACGTTAATACTAAGCTGTATATAGATATGACTGAAATGAATGCCGATTCTGAACCATGCAGTTTTTGTTCCAGGGTTATGTTTCAACACATGGTGACCTGTTGGACTTGCTCGTTTTGTGTTTCTTGCTCTTTGAGCCCTCTCTTTTCCTCTATATCTCACAATATTTCTTTTTCTTTCGTTCATCTTTCTGTATCACCCGTTACATTATTTCATTTTAGCTCTGAATTTCTGCCATTTTCACTCATTTATGCCTATACTTTCCTCTCTCTCGTTCTCCTCAACACTCATTTTTTCCTCCGGACGCTAACTTCCCTCTCTCCCTCCCAAGCCACGCTGTATTATACAAGGCAATACTGGGATCTGGCAGCGGACCTTCATAGCCGAGTGGTTAGGATGCTCGCCTATGAATGAAGGGTACGCGGGGCCGAATGCCGCCTCGTGAAGAAGAACAATATAAACTTTATTTGTCGAATCCACACGATTCGAGTCCAGCGTTTTTTAGTAGGCCTGGGCACCCACCGCGGATGCGGTTCCAAGACCTTGTCTCCAAGCGGCTTCCTCGGCACGCGGGACGGCCCAGAGTTGTGCTGTCAGGTTCGAGCTGAGCAGTGCGGCCTTCCAACGCGAGCGGAGGCTGGCGGTGGAAGAGCGAGATGAATCGGCACTGTTCGGATTGTTTATTAAGCCCTGACACTCCCACAGCATGTGACTAAGGGTGGCAACCTCGCCACATGACGTGCATCTGTAGTGTATATGTCTGGATACATGGCATGCATGAGTCTGGGCTTTCTGTATGAATCCGTTTGTAATTGTCTGAAGTGTACCGCTTGCGTTCTGCTTAGCCTTTCGTGGGGGGATGGGTATATGTGCCTTTGTAACTGGTAATGTGTGGTGATGTAGTGAAACCTGGTTATACGAT